GCCATTAAAAAAAGAGTTAGTGACACTTATAAATGTCATTACACCATCAAGACTAAAATCTTTCAGTGACACTTTAATGTCATGGTAGGCACTATTCGTGATGCTATCAAGTGCCATTCGTGACGATAATTCGTTGTAGAACAATTTGATCCGCTCTTGCGGAGACTCGAACCACCAACCTCCTGCACCATAAACCTTATACACCACACTCTTCCCACTATACCTCTATAGCACCACATGATTATATATGCAACATATATTATTTATATAGTGCATACATCCATATTAATATAAAAGTATATGTATATGTATAAACATAATTATTTTATTGAACATAATTTATGTAAAATAAACTATTTACTAGCAAAATAAAAAACACCACTTTTTTAGTCGCCAATTCTATACTTTTGGCTACTAATTATTTTTTAGTTACTAAAAAACTTAGCTTTTGCCGACCAAAATCAGATTTGGTGGCCGAAGATGCATTTTCAGCTACCAAAATTTTGGTCGCCAAAAAATTTAATTCCCGCCTTAGGATTTTAGCTCTCCCACGTTAAAAATGACCACTTTTGGCGAGTAAACTTATTTTTTAGTCGCCAATTGTAGATTTTTGGCTACTAAAATTTTTTTTGGCACCAAAAAGTTTTACTTTTGACTATTAAAAATTTTTTAGTCAGTAAAACCCATATAATCAACGACCAAACTTATTTTTAGTTGCCAATTATAGACTTTTGACTACTAAATTTTTTTAGTCGCCAAAAAACTTTACTTTGGGCTACTAAAAATTTTTTAGTCACTAAAACCCATATAATCAGCGACCAAACTTAGTTTTAGTCGCCAATTGTAGACTTTTGGCTACTAAAATTGTTTAGTCGTCAAAAAAGCTTTACTTTTGGCAACTAATACTGTTTTGGTCAGGAAATTTAGTCGCCGAATGTGGTTTTTCCTGTAGTGTATATTGAGTTTAATTTATTTATTTTTAATCATTTATTGCATTTTAAAAATTTAGAAAATATATTGACATTTTTTGTTTTTTCAAAAATGTCATTATTAGCTTGGAAAGGTTTTAGCTTAGTGGCATTTCTCAAAATGCTATAAAATATTTGTTTATGACACTTTTCACCTAAGTGTCATAAAAAGTAATTTGCACCTACCTAGTGTCTTGACATATTTTAAAAAATGTTATTGCGACTAAAGTTTAGTGGCATCTGTTGATAAATGTCACGAACATAATTTTTTGTGTCATTATTTTATAAAATGCCATAAAATTGATGTGATATTTCTTTATTAAAAAGCCACTAGAGCCTTATATGTTTGTGATTCTGTGGAATTTTTCTAAAACATTTAATGCCAATTTTTATTTTTGTGGCATTTTCTAAAAACATGCCAGTAGTGTAGTGTCACTAAAGTGTAAATTTGTTGTAGTGACATTTTTGTTGTAGTGAAGTGACACTTTTTTTAATTGAAATGCTACTAGAGCCTTGTATGTTTATGGCACTATGACATTTTTTTTAAAAATGCCACCAAATATTCTTTTTGTAACATTTTTTAAGAACATGCCACTAGTATGGTGTCACTAAAATGTGTTTTTGTTGTAGTGCCACTTTGATGCATGCCAGCTTACCGTAATAAATTAAAAATATTTTTTAGGCCTCGTTTGGGAACAGGCTATTTTGTAATCTTTTGGCTTTTTAGTTAAAATATGAGGTAAAAAAAATTAGTATGTTTGGGATAACTTTTTGATTTTTTACGAAAAAGTGTGCAAAAAGTAGAGAGAAAAGAAAATTTTTGACTTTTTGATATAAGTTGTTGACTTTTTAATTTTTTTAGTAACTTTTTAACTTTTATACTAAAACAGCCAATTGCCAAACGAGGCCTTAGTAAGGCTTGTTATTGGTAATTAGGAAAAAAGTTAATTTATTGATTTGTTTTGAAAAAATGTACAAAAAAAATTAAAGAGGTAATATTATCCAAATAAGTCAATAAGCTACCTTTTTTTTCTAGTTGCCAAAATAAGGCTAAATTTAATTTATTATTTTATTATTTTACTTGTTTCAATACATTTTTCACTCAATTCTACTATTAAACATTGTTCAACAACAATAACTAGCTTTTTCCTTATATTAAATACCATATCACATGACACACATAACTTAACAATAATCAATTAATTAATATGAATTATATATGTGGTACTGAGTGTTAGAATCAAGATAGGGGCATATTATATATTAAAAAAAAAAATTGGGATAAAAAGATGAGATGGTGGATTAAGACTATTTGGGAAATTGGATTTGGTCCTACAGTTCCCAAAGAAAAAAAGGATTTGATTTTTAGATTTGGCTCTATCATATACATGTGGATTTTTATTTTATTTTTTTAACTACAATACATGTGGATTTGGTATATGTTTTTTTGCACCTTTAAAAAAAAAAAAATCTACCACTAAAAGACAGCATTCAGTTCTTCTTATCAACCCATATCAGAAATGATCTTAAAAAGGCCAAAGAATTTGCATTTTCAAGTTATGGGATTGGAGGAATCTCTTTTTCATTCTCTCCATCTTCTTCCTCCTCCTAACTTTAATAATAGAAAAGAAAAAGAAGAGAGGAAGAGAGAGCCAAAAGAGAGAGAGGCCACCGAAAAGCATGAAAACCTTTCTCATGATGAAAGCAAGAAAAAAACGACCTGATTAGACTGGCCAACCCACACGCACACACCTCCCTCATTCATCATCATCATACATCCTAATATGTTTTGGATCCCACGGTGGCATTTGCACCGAATTTTCTAACTTTATATTTTTCTTTTTTATTATTAATAATATTATTAATTCAGGCTTAATTATTTAAAAATTATCTAAAATTGTCATCTTATGTTTCAAATTTATTCTACACATAAACTCCTACACTATATAAATTCAATTTCAATCACACACATCTCATTCAGGATAAATTCAATTAACTTAAGTGGGTTCATAGTAATTTTCTTTTATTATATAAATAATTATTAAATTATATAATAAAAAAATTGAAACACGTAAATTTTGAAATATAATTAAATGATCAGGACAAAAGCCAAATAGTATCACTGGCTAGTGAATAACTTTAAATAATAATAATAATTTTAGTGATGTTGTGATTCATCAATTCTCATTTCTGTCGTTTCTATCGCTTATTCATTAAATAAATTAGAAAAATTTGGGAATCAGACAAAATCATGTTTTTAGGTGGGTAATTATAATATTAAATTTGTATTGCATGGAACTTATATATAAAATAAATATAAATTACAAGAAAATAATTTTGGATAATTTCTAGATAATTAAGTCCAAATAGTATCACTGCCTAGTGAATAACTTTAAATAATAATAATAATTTTAGTGATGTTGTGATTCATCAATACTCATTTCTGTCGTTTCTATCGCTTATTCATTAAATAAATTAGAAAAATTTGGGAATCAGACAAAATCATGTTTTTAGGTGGGTAATTATAATATTAAATTTGTATTGCATGGAACTTATATATAAAATAAATATAAATTACAAGAAAATAATTTTGGATAATTTCTAGATAATTAAGTCTGAATTCGTAATATTATTGTATAAATTATTCATATTTTGATATTATTAATAATTTTATTCCAAACAAAATGTTTTAAAAAAAAATCTGGACATACTAATTAAAATAGGGGGGAGGGGGGGAGGTGGTCGGTGAGTGCTCAAATTTGCGAGTAAATTGGTAATTCATTAGCTCTAGCTTAGTTTATTATGCATGGATAATAAGGCTTAAGTAGACAAGTTCAAGTTGAGTGAGCTTGATTATTATGCTTGGGTGCAATTTCCGTTTGGGAATTGGTTACCTTCGGGCAACAGCTACTACTGGGATCCAATTCCGAGATCAATTCAATAATAGTTTTTAGCTTTTTACTATAAAAAAGTAAAAATAGTGATATAACTTGTAATAACTTAGTGACTAAAATAACTTATTAACAAAGAGACTTTAAATAGATAAATTTAAATTGTGTTGAGAGTTCTTCAAATCCACATATATGTATTTTTTTATTTTTTTTTGATAATTAGATATTCGGATTAGCTTACGTGCACCTCGATAAATTTGGCCTAGTCGGTGCAGTTGGGAGTTTGAGGTTGTGATCTCTCCAAATCTTATATTCAACTCTCAGTAGCTACTATCAATTCCTTAAGCCACGCTTGTAAAAGCACTTTACGTAAATATTGAAATTAGTTGAGGTGCGCATAAGATATCAATTAAAATTCAACGTAGACAAATTCTTCAATTCGACTAAATGCATCCAAATGAGGGAAAATTGTTCAATATTGTCGGAGTACCACGTATATGTACTCCCTAACTAAGGCCAAGTTTGGGAAGACTAAATAAGTGCACTTTTTGACTTTTTATTAAATATGAGTTGGATTTGAGTTGGGTTTGAAGTGATGTGTTAGAGAGGTGATGTGACTTAAATAAGATGATGTGACTTAAATAGGATAGTGACTTTTTGACTTTTTGAATTTTTTGGAGGATGCCAAACTTGGCCTAATTATTATTCAATGTCCCTTATGTTCTCCAATCACCCACTACAATATCTCACATACATACCTTCTCCACCAATTATAATATTATAAAATATCACATATTCATATTTCGAAATTACTGAATAATTACTTCAAACGACATTCCTAACATTAATGATACTCCATAAAATGATTTTCACTGATGGGTTACTATTTGTTCCACCACCCACACGCTCTATCTCACATATCTCTCATTACCAATACATTAATCATTGATCATGCATATGCTTTTCTCTCTCTCTTTTCTTCTACTTTTTAATATGGAAATCATAAGTCAACCTCGCCTCATCATTTGGTCTTGGTTTTTCTGGGCACCCACCACCTCATTTCCCACTTTTATTCTTTCCCTTCTTTTCTTTTTTTTTAATTAATATTTTTTTTTCCAAACTTGTTCTGTATATATAATGGCTACTCTCTCTTTCATCGGACCTTACAGATATACACACACATGGAATCAAGCATGAAGGTTCATCAGTTCGCACGTGGATTCTGGGTGCACGAACCCTCCTCCCTCACGCTTGGTTGCAAGCGTCTTCGCCCTCTTGTTCCCAAACACTCCAACAACAACAACAACAGCAGCAGCGACTCCACCATCACGGCCGCCTCTTTCGATCTCAAGAGCTTCATTAGACCTCAAACTGTCAGCCCTACAAAGCCCCTCCGACGCTCCGAGGACATGGGTGAAACAACTCAGGTAAAGGGATTCTCAATTACGTTTTAAATATCTGTCGATACGTATAACAAAAGTATGTAAAAAAAAACTCACTTACTCACCCAAACCATCCAACTCGTGCCAACCCGCTCTACTTATCAATATTTTTATGTACTTCAACCCAAAAAATATATTTCCATTTTCTGACACCTCACCCTCCTCATTTTCCATGTCCCCCCGTTATTGTCGCTCACAATTATAGTAAAAGGTTTTATGACTTTAGAATGTGTTTGTATAATGTGTGAAAATTTAAAATTTTGCTCAACTCGATAGTTTTAAAGTCATTTGAGTTAACAATGAGTTAAGAAATTGTCAACCCTTTGATAACAGTTTGGATGAGATTATTTCCTCCAAACCGCTGAAACGACATGCTCAAAGGCTGATATGTTTTAACTTTTGACATATGCATGTATATTTGGTATAACTTGTGGTGTTTGTGAAACAAAGAATGTGCAGGTGGAGACGCAGCCAGGTGGGACAAGGTGGAATCCGACGACAGAACAAATAGGGATACTGGAGATGCTTTATAGGGGAGGGATGCGAACCCCGAACGCGGAGCAGATTGAGCAAATCACAGCACAACTTGGTAAATATGGAAAGATTGAAGGAAAGAATGTGTTTTATTGGTTCCAAAACCACAAAGCACGCGAGAGACAGAAGCAGAAACGCAACAGTGCTAGTCTTCTTGGCCTCGGACACTGTACTAGGAGTATTCCGGCCACCACCATTGCTACTATAACATTGGACACATCTACTAGGGTATGTCTCATATAAGTTTGTTTTCGTTAATCATAAAAAATATTTCCCGTTGATTTTCGGTTGTATTAAATGTCAGAAAATACGAAGAATATTTTTTATATAGCTGTTTTCTACCCAAACAATTAAGGTTCATTATGCATGTAGGCTGTAGGCTCTTGACAAGTAAAATTCTACTCTGTAAATTTTAAATTTTGAATCATTTTTCTTTAGGTACATGACATTTTTTTTTATCTTTAGAACAATATTTTTTACATTTTTAGTGCAAATTTTGGATAGGGACAAGTGGAGAGAGAAGAAGAGAGTCCAAACAAGAGGAAGTGCAGGACATGGGTGTTGGAAAGCTTGGAAGAAGACAAGAGGTATTGTAAAGAGGAGGGAGACAAGACTCTGGAGCTTTTCCCATTACACCCTGAAGGCAGATGAAATGGGTTTGAAGCTTTTTTTTTTTTTTTTTTTTCTTTTTGGATTCAATCTCATGACTTTTGGTTCAACATTTTGTGAATTTTGCTTCAATGTGCTTTTTTTCTTTCTTTTTCTTTTTTGCCTCCTTCTTCTTCTTTCTTTCTTTGTTTGGGGAAAGAATAAAAACAAGTTGTATCTTTGTACCCCTCCTGATCCCTTTGTTAGTCTTCCTGACATGCATATATGGAGCCAAAGTGCTTTGTCACTCTTGGAAAATGGTATCAAGTTATTGTCAAAAAAGTTTAACTTGTTATTCTTTGTATTTGTTCGTATTTGTAGATGAGATCATCATGATCACATCTACGGATATAAATAAATATAAAAAATAAATAATTTTAGATCTTTTCTTAAGAAATAAACCCAACCTCATATATTAAACAAATAATTTGGGACGGGTACGATAACTTTCAAACCAAGCTTTGTTTTTAGGTTAAAAGTGGTGAAGCTAAGGACAAGCTTTGTTTTTAGGTTAAAAGTGGGCAAGCTAAGGACACTGAAGTCCAAGCATCTACCTCCACCAACTCCCACTCCCTTTCCCACTCCCACACATTCAAAATTGAAAAAAGATTGGTGAATTTTTTGTTGCCGTTTTTTTTAAGTGAATTTTGTTTTAAAAAAAATTAAATGTAAGCTTTTGGTTCTACTCGACTAGATTGACCGGAAATTTTCAAAAAAATTATAAAAAAAGTCCAATAAGATTAAAAAAACAAAAACAAAAACAATTATTTTTTTGTCTTTTATTTTAATTTTTCAAAAAAAAAATAATTTTTTAAATTCATCTACACAAAACCGACTAGAAAAGAAAAAAAAAATTAACATAATTTTTATTTTTTTTAAATGTGACTTATTTAAATGTTTCCAAACACCCCTAATTATTTTATATTTTGAGAGTGTCATGATGATTGTATCCGCCCAATAATAGGAGATTAATACCGACATAGTCGAAAAAATTAAAAGATGTGATGAATAATTTAGAAAGTATTATTAGATAGATATATAACCATAGACTTGGTGTAATAATTTCTGCCTAATCAGACTCTCATAAAGTAAGATTACATAACGCAACACAAAGTATCAAGTACTATCAGTCGAGCAGACATGCAGATTTTGCACCAGCTAGTGCGTTGTGGGGCCGCATATTAGTAGTTACTATGGCATTTTGGAGGGAAAGAAAGGATGCTGAATTTTGAAATTATAATTACTATGTACTTTAAAAAATATTTTAAAATCATATAGAATTTAAATTTATGATATAAATTTAATTTGGAATAACATATAGATCTTTCACAACTTTTCAATTTTTTGGATAAATTACAAATACACCCCTGAGGTTTGATTAAAATAGAAATCACCCCAGTAATTTTGAAAATTACATTCTAGCCCTTAAGGTTTCTAATTTCGTAACAAATTGTCCCTTTTATTAATAAATCATGAAATCAATTAACAGTTTTTAATGATATTAAAAATATGTTTCAATTAATAATTTAGGTAATTTTATTATTGTATTAGAGAGCAATTATGAATTTTATTTTTTCAATTAATTCTATTAAATAAAAAATTCTAGCAAAGGAGTATTTGTAATTTTCGAAACCACAGGAAGCAATCTGTACTTTAAGCAAACCTCAAAGGATTTATTTGTAATTTATCCTTTTTCTTTTTTTTCTTTTTTTGAAACAAGAGATACAACTGACCACAAAATTCTCATATAAAACTTTTGATATAATGGAGAAAAAAAAGAATATATTAGATAAATACGCTTCTAGTCATAATTCCACATGATTATCCAAGTAGTAGATAATAAGATTCACCAACAGGGGTTGATTTAGTGGCATAACTTTCGAATTTCTCGCTCAAAATTTGGATTCGAGTTTTCATAACCTCTTATTTGGATTAAACATACTTCTTAGCGCCCAGAACACGCAAGTCTTAGCTTCGTCAACAACGTAGGTGTAGTGAAGTTCCCTGCATATGCGCTATAGGTGCTTAAGGACAATACTTCCTGACGAGTATGTGGAGTACCTTATTTACATATCCATTTCTTATATTAACAAAAAATGACAAGATCCAAAATCTCAAATTTAAATTATTCCAAGAGGTCACTAGAGATTCGTCTGATGCACAACTACCCCAGACATCCATTTATCAACAAAAAAAAAAAAATGTTTGAGCCTTCTGTTAAAATTCGGCATACTAATAAAATCATATTTACCTTGTTGGTTTTAGAAAATTGTGCTCACTTTTCAGAAAAATTAATTTTTTATGTTTTTTGTTTTCAATAAAAATTTTAATGTTTTATTTTATTTTTTAATTTTGTAAGTGCACATAACTTAAATACATTTAAAAAGTATAATATTTATAAAAAAAATTTACAAAGTTCATCAAATACAACAAAATTACAAAAAATAGTACATTTTCATATTTTTGTGTGTTTATTAAATTTTTTAAATATTTCATAAATATTTTACTTTTTAGATACATTTAAATTATGTGCATGTAAAAAAAGTTACTTAAAATATTTTTTAAAAAATCACTAAAAACAAAAAAAATAAAAAACCAAACAAGGTTATCATTTTTTGAATTTAGCAGCCCAATATGTCAGCTTGGCCCATTAACTTCCAGGCTTAAATATATAAAAGAAGAGAGAAATGAAGCCTCTGTTTCAAGACAAAGAGCCATCTCTCAGTGAATTTTTTTCATGGGGGAAGTCGGAATAAAATTTATAAAAACTTCCAGGCTTAAATATATAAAAGAAGAGAGAAATGAAGCTTCTGTTTCAAGACAAAGAGCCATGTCTCAGTGAATTTTTTTCATGGGGGAAGTCGGAATAAAATTTATAAAAAAAATAATAAAATTTATAAATATTAATAATTAAAATCATAAATTTTTTGACTATTATATAATAATTTTTCAAAACTACTCCTTAATATTAATTTCCCTGTTTTTTCATTGGATTAGTTGAAGTTTTGAATCTTTCCCATATCATCTCTGATCCTAACTTTCTAGCTTTAATCTAGATCATCTCATCAAATACTAGCATGGTTTTTAAGTGATATCACAAATGATTTTTAATGGATGAAGAACAGTGATGCATGAATAGTTTGCTAAATTTATTTTGAAATATAAAAGTAATTAAGTTTAGATAAAAGTATTCCAACAATTATAAATGCTTAACAACCAACATAACAAAGATATTCATAATGGAAAAAGAATAAAAATACAACAATGTCCAACAATTATCAATTTTTACGTTTGTTAATGACTGACTTCTTAACTTTGAGCTAAAAATGTATGAGAGTAGTTAATTGAAAAAACTTAATTACTTTCCTGAAATTGCACTGGAAAAAAAGAGAGGAAAAATTACAAAAAAAAATCCTAGAGTAGGACTCTTACAGTAAAATAAATTATGATTTTTTTATTTTATCAATTTAAATTATAATCTTTTAATTTATTTTCAATATAAACATGTCCTCATTTTCGCCAGGTAAAACCGATGAAAAAAATGATATTTTAACCATTAAACTAAATGTGGGTGTACATAAAATATCTAAAATGCCATTTTTGTTGAGTTTAATGACTAAAATAATTTTTTTTAGGTTGATTTTACTTAATAAAAATAGGTAAATAGTTTAGATTGAAAATAAATAAATTAGGATTTAAATTGATAAAACTAAAAATTCAGGATTTATGTTATTATAAAAGAAAAACTCTAAATTTTTTTTGTAATCTTTCAACAATTGATTTTTTTATTTTTTGTATTTTTAAAATTTTTAATGATTTTTTAAAATATTTTAAGTAAAATATTTGTGAAAAAATATTTTAAAATTCAATAATACATAAGAATACGAAAATATACTTAATTTATACATATATATATTGGGAGACTTATTTATAAGTCCTATTTCGGACACCTATGCTATGTTAAGTCCTATGTAATTTGTTATAGAGTCTCAAGTCCTATTTAGATAAGAATGTGTTCCATAAGATCCTATTTGCGAAATATAACGTGACACGTTACGTTACGTTTATGTAGGTGTCACGTTACATTACGTTTATGTAGGTGTCACGTCACGTTACGTTTATGTAATGTCCTATCTGATATGGTCACGTTACGTTACGTTACATTTATGTAGGTGTCACGTTACGTTTCGCAAACTTAATCTATGGTAACATTTAATTTCCTAGGAAATTGAATGTTACCATAGAACATATCTATGTGAATGTGAATTTCAAAATACATGAACAAGTAACATTTTCAAATTCAATTTAAAAAATCAAAAACCTAGTAAGTTTGCGAAACGGAACGTGACACGTTACTTTACGTTTATGTAGGTATCACGTTACATTTCGCAAACTTAATCTATGTTAACATTCAATTTCCTATATATGATTTTACCATTATTTATGATATTAACAACTAATATTTAGGGTAAATGTGTCAACAAACTTCACACAGGACTTATGAGAACATAAGTTTTTTCATAGGACCATATGTAGCATAAGTCTCCCTAATAGGACTTATAAATAATTTTCCCATATATATTTTTGTATTTGATCAATTTTTTATTTTTTTTCATAAATATTATACTTTTTAATTTATGCAAGTTAGGTTCATCTACAAAATAAAAAAAAAATCTTAAAATATTCAAAAGGAAATTACTAAAAACAAAAAAAAATAAAATTAAGAAAAATAAAATTTAACTTTCTGAAAAGTAGGAAAATAAAACAAGGTGATCAAATTTTGGGACTGACAATTAAGAACCCACGATTAGATGAGTACGAGGTGACTTTGTTTGTACCCAAATTTTTTTTTTCAGTATGCTCGATTTCTCAGTATTCTCTATAAATTATTTATGGTTATAATTTACTCTTAATACACTTTATATTTTTTTTCATAAATTACCCTTCAAACTAAAATCATAATTTGTGATACACTTAAATAATAAACAAATTAATTCAAAAAATACTTCCTCCCTCGACGATAATGGTGAGTTAGGTTAAAATAAAGACTGCCTGGTCCGTTGTAACTTTCAATGACTTGTTTAATCTGGAAAAGATTTGTAAAGGATGAAACTTTTGTTTACTGGGAGCAGGTGTATGTGTGATGTTGATGTTGATTTCGGGGTAGACTTATTGATTTTCTATTTCTTGCATTATATTGGCTTTTGCTAATATTCCTAGTTCAGTTGTTATGTTGTACGTTTGTAATTGTTTGTGTTCTTTTTGATTTGGTGCTTTAGAGGTAGGGGATATTGTTTTCTGCTTTGGATTGTATTTGGATGGTGCATTTATTACTGCATTTTTATGAAATATTATATTTTTTTGCTGATCTAAAAAAAATGCTAAGTTTTAGGCAGGTGGATTGTAATTTTGGAATAAAGAAGAGGGTGGAGAAAAAATAATTGAAATTTGATAAAGAAGATGAAAGAAATTTGAATATGAAGAATGCGATTAGAATGTATTATGAGAAAAAAATTATTTTAAAATTTAGGTTAAGTTTGGCATCCTCCAAAAAATCTAAAAAGTCAAAAAGTCACTATCCTATTTAAGTCACATCATCTTATTTAAGTCACATCACTTCTCTAACACATCACTTCAAACCCAATCCAAATCCAACCCATATTTCATAAAAAGTCAAAAAGTGCACTTATTTAGTCTTCCCAAACTTGGCCTTAATATGCATTGCCATTATTAATATAATTACATTAAATATAATAAAAATAAAATTTTCAAAATTTTAATTTAGAGGTTGTTTGGAGTGTCCTAAATAAGTACATTTTTTGACTTTTTATGAAATATGAATTGAGTATGGGTTGAGTTTGAAGTGATGCGATAGAGATGTGATGTGACTTAAATAAGATGATGTGATTTTAATAAAATAGTGACTTTTTAACTTTTTAAATATTTTTTAAGATGTCAAACTTGACCTTAATGTACGTTATTATTTGGGTGTGAATAGAATCACTCCCGAGTACGCTACAGTGACGTAGTGAAAAGGCCCAAGTTTAGCGTATGAGGCCCAAAATAGGAATTCTAGATTTGACTGAACTGGGCTGGAAAATGACAGGCCTTAACAGTTTGATTCCACACGCGCGCGCGCGCGTCATCAAAATCAAAAGCGAAAGCCGCAAGATCTCCACAACCCTGCGAAGCACCAGATCGTACCCACCCCGTCACTTATCAACTCCCTTCCTTCGCCTAGTCGTCTAAAACGAAACTGCCGGGTACAAGGCCACGAATCCATCACACGGTCCAGATCTCATCCACGTATCAAATTAGGGTTTTCTAGTCCCCGTATATAAACTCCACAGTTCCATCTCAGCCGGTGCGGTGCAGTTCGTCCCTGCCCTCCGAAAAAAATCTCTCTCTCACTTTCTCTCTCTATCTTTCTCAGTTCCGTTCGGATCTCCCGACGATTTATCCCCATTTTACCCTTCTTCTTCCTCTCCTATCCCCTCAAAAACCCCAAAAAAAGAAATTTAGCTAATTTATCTGTATTTTGTTGCGTTGTGTTTTGTTGTGTTGTCTCTCTAGGGTTTCGACTCTTCAACCCCAGAGGAGAGGGGGGGAAAATCTGAAAAAAGAAGAAAAAGAAAAAGAGGTTGGGAAGGGTTTTTTTTTTATGGCGCAGATTCAGGTGCAGCATCAGAGTCACGTTTCGGGTCCGAACGGTGTGGCGGCGGCGGCGGCGGCTGGTGGTGCGAACCAGTTCGTGACGACGTCGTTGTATGTTGGGGATTTGGACTTCAGCGTGACTGATTCGCAGCTCTATGATCTGTTCAACCAGGTTGGTCAGGTTGTGTCGGTTAGGGTTTGTAGGGACCTCAGTACTCGGCGATCTCTCGGCTATGGCTATGTTAACTACAGCAATCCTCAAGATGGTCAGTTTTCTTGTAATTGCGTTTCTGTTGATACGAATTTGAATTGGGGTTGTTCGAATCTCTGACGATTTTGCTAAATTAGTGTTGTTGATTTGATTCGATGATGTATATGGTGTATTAATTATCAAGCAAATTTGCGACATTTGTGTTATTTAATTGACTGATGATGTGTTGATTAGTAGATTATAGTGTACATTACTATTGATAAACAAGATGGATAATGTAGCATTGTATTGCTCTTTGTAGTCACATTTTCTGATGTTGCTAACACAATTTGTTGCGTCGAATGTGTGTAAATTGAGTTTCCACAGTCAATGGTCCAAGCAATTTAAGAACTTGTGCCAGTAGTTTGTATTGGGTCAACTTGAATAAGAAAAAAGGGAAGGGACTAATGGGTTTGAGGTATTATTGCTAATTGCATTAGTTGAATCCACTTAGGCCCTGTTTGCTAACACTTTATAAAAAGGTTAATTTTAGCTTTAGAACAATCTAAAACCCAGATTTACAACAGTTAGCTTTTTGAGCTGAAAAGGCAAACAAGTTTAATGTGAAAAGTGGAACCAAACACCTTTTTAAGTACATCTGCTTAAGCATGTAATTCAATTGGCTGCAAATATGTGGAAACAAATGGGCTCTTAGTATCTACAATTCCACTTGGACTTGTGTTGCAGGCTTAATTTAAAGACTACTAGAATGGACTTGTGCTACAGCTTTCATGTAATGATGTTTCCATCTGTGCTTGTGAGTTGGGTTAGTTCTTCATAGCTTGCAATAAGTTCTTTGTGCATGATCATGTTGAATTTGATATATTCTGTTGCTTGATTTCTTACCGGCGGTATTTTGAATTGTTATTTGCTTCGTGTGTGTGGTTTTTACTTTGTTGGCTCCATATGGACAAATTTTGCGTGACTTACGCACTCCTCTATGTTTGTTTAAACATAGATATTCTAGAATGCCTGTTTACAATTTTGATTCTGAGCTAAGGCATTTTGCCTCGTTTATGGCCATTTCCTGAGTTTGTAAAACCGTTATTTGCATTCCTAGATACAAAATACAAATATTTACTAGTGTAGTTAACATGTGTTTGTCATGTTAACCTGTGCCATTGAATGGAATCCTTGCCTCTCTTTCATTAGTTTGCTTGCCGGTGCATGGCCATGTAATTCTAACTATATTTGACATTTTTGGTTAATTGTGATCACAGCTGCAAGGGCAATGGATGTGCTTAACTTCACTCCGCTTAATGGCAAGCCTATCAGAATTATGTATTCTCATCGGGATCCCAGTATTCGCAAAAGCGGTACTGCAAATATATTTATCAAGGTATCAATGTCCTGTTTCTTCATTTTCCACCCCCATCCATTATGTAATTATTTTCCTTCCTTGATTTTAGAGTATTTGGTGGCTGCTAGGCTACCAGGAAACCTTAATGCAATGGCAGTAGGTTAGGTTTTTTATCAGACCGATTGGAAGAATATTGTTCTAGGAAACTAGGTAGATGTTTCCTTGAATTTTGTACCTCTGGGTTTGTTGCACCAAGTTGGATGTTGTAGAGAACAGTTACCAAGGCCTGAAGAGAAATAATGGCCAGGAATTGCATGTCTAGGCCTTTCTTGTATGTTTTTCTTTTTGTCTTTGCTTGATATGGTATTGTCATTTTATTTATGAAAATGCCAATTTGATTATGGGTGCTAGTTATTTAAGACCATTCAACTGAATGTATAACCTTGCCCAAGTAGATTGGCTTTGACTCATTTTTCCCCTTTTACATCTAATTTTCAGCTTTGTTTTGCCTGTACCGCACACATTTGAATAACATTTCTGTTTTTTTGTTTTGTTTTGATGCAGAATTTGGACAAAGCAATTGACAACAAAGCATTACACGATACTTTTTCTAGCTTTGGAAACATTCTTTCTTGCAAGATAGCTACTGATCCTTCTGGCCAATCTAAAGGCTATGGTTTTGTACAATTTGATAATGAGGAAGCTGCTCAGAATGCGATAGATAAGTTAAACGGCATGCTCATTAATGATAAACAAGTTTACGTAGGCCATTTTCTTCGTAAGCAGGAAAGAGATACTGTCATGAGCAAGACAAAATTTAATAATGTATTTGTGAAAAACCTCTCAGAATCAACAACTGATGAGGATCTAAAGAATACATTTGGTGAATATGGAACAATTACTAGTGCAGTAGTGATGAGGGATGGTGATGGAAAATCCAAGTGTTTTGGATTTATCAATTTTGAAAATGCTGATGATGCCGCTAAAGCTGTTGAGGCTCTAAATGGTAAGAAAGTTGATGATAAGGAGTGGTACGTTGGGAAAGCCCAGAAGAAGTCTGAAAGAGAGCTTGAACTAAAAAGTCGGTTTGAGCAGACTGTAAAGGAAGCGGTGGACAAATTTCAAGGGGTGAATTTGTATATCAAGAACTTGGATGACAGCGTTGATGATGATAAGCTGAAGGAACTGTTCTCTGAATTTGGTTCAATTACTTCTTGCAAGGTCTTGTTCAATTTAAAAATATTGAAATTCACTTACCTTTATGTCCTTTATCTCTCTATCTACCTACATATAAATCTGTTAACAAGGTGGATGGATCTCATACTTTTTCCCTTTATTTTTCCCTCAATTTTTTTCCTTAAACTTATAGGTCATGCGTGATCCTAGTGGAATTAGCAGAGGTTCAGGATTTGTTGCCTTCTCTACACCTGAAGAAGCATCTCGTGCTGTAAGTGGATTTTTGTGAATTTGCATTTGTTTAAGTTGTTTTAAGATGATGCCTAATTTCTACTTCTTCACGTGCAGCTTGCGGAGATGAATGGTAAAATGTTTCTAAGCAAACCACTCTATGTTGCTCTTGCCCAGCGAAAAGAAGAGAGGAGAGCAAGGTTGCAGGTAACAGCGTTGGGAAAAAAATTCAGCGTTTTTTTAAATATATTGTTAATGACAAATCATGCTAGTGTTTCTTCTAGTTTTTTTGCAAATTAATTGCTTCACCAAAATATGTATGCAACTTGTAGTAACTCAATTTATTTTTGAATGAATGCTTTTGTTATTTTTTTTCATGTGTTGCGGTTCCTGTTATATGTTTTTTTTTTTTTTAAATATTTGTTACTAGTTCTTGAAAGTAACAGATGCAGGTACATTTGGTTTGTACTGATGGTAATTTTCAGGGTTACTTAGGCCTCGTTTGGGAGCAGGCTAATTTAGTAACTTTTTGGCTATTTGGCTAAAAAGGTAGGTAAAAAAAACTTGTATGTTTGGGATGACTTTTTGGCTAATTACGAAAAGATGTGCAAAAAGTAGAGAGAAAAGAGAATCTTTGACTTTTTGGTATAAGTTGTTGACTTTTTGGTTAATTTAGTAACTTTTTGGCTAATTGACTAAAAAAGTAAGTCCCCAAACGGGGCCTAGACTTAATAATACTTGTCTTAAACGTAATATCAAACTATAGGTGCATAAATGTGATCTGGATTTTAAAGATAGGCACACAGTGATCTGGATTTTGTGGTTCCATGCAAATGCTGAGATAGGGTTTCAGTTGGAATAATTGGAGTTTGTCAAAGAGCTCCTTTTTTTCCCTAGGTTATTTTGTTTGTTTCAGCATTTGTAGCTATGAAGTCAAATGGTAGTTGATGTATTGTAGTGCTGCAAAGGTGTACGTTTCTACTTTGCAGTTAGTAAATGGTGATTGATGTCCTGCATTTGTTTGATCTCTGTTTAATGTTCTCTTTATATTTGCGGTGGTAAAGCTGAGATGTGAATGTAGACGTGAGCTGGTTGTCTCCCACAACCTCCTTTGTTTATCCTCCATTGACTGCTGATGTTATTGTTTTGTATGTACATGTATAACTCCATGTTTGTTTCTTAATATTGTTTAAAAAAATCAGCCCATAATATTGTGGTTCTTAATTGGGGTAAAGATTTGACCACTGTGCCTTCTGTTCTACATATGTTTACGTCATTTATGCAGGCTCAGTTTTCGCAAATGCGGCCAGTTGCAATGGCTCCATCAATTGCTCCCCGTATGCCAATGTATCCCCCAGGTGCTCCAGGTCTTGGACAACAATTATTTTATGGGCAAGCTCCCCCTGCTATTATTCCTCCCCAGGTATTGACTGTTTGCTTACTTGTGTTTATTTATTTTCTTTAGCCCATTTCTGCTCGCTTCCTTTATATGTTGAACATTCCTTTCTCCTTGACCTCTGTTTCCACAAGCACATTTTAAGTAACTTGGCAGCTGTGTAATTCAAAATCAATGCTTTTTTCTTCATGTTACTCTCTCTCTCTCTCTCTCTTACACACACACACACACAAACACACGGTGTGTTGCTTGTTCACAAACAGATACTCAATAAATTGACCAATTGTCCTGTAATTTACTCCCAAACATCTTAAAGTTTGGGCATTGATGTAATGCTGTCATTCTTTTATATGGCTTTTTAGTTTGGCTCTAATATTGCATGTGAATAATGTACGAGAAATTATGAAGAATCTATTGCAACATTTATGGCTTGTATTGTTTAATGTAGATTTGGAGGAGGATTTTAAAGAGTTTAACTTGGTTTGAGATTTGTTCTTTTTATTGTTTTTTTTGCTTAATATCTTTAATTGGTAGTAAAACCTGAAGACAGGAATTTTTTGTAGCTTAATTAGCCGTGTCTGGAATTTGGGTTGCCTTGTTTTCAGTTGAGCTTTTTCTCTGCCGTATGGCATGTTTTCCTGGTAGTTATTTGTGGCAGCTTTTGATTAATTCTAATTCAACATGTTCATTTTGTAGGCTGGATTTGGTTACCAGCAGCAACTTGTTCCTGGAATGAGGCCAGGTGGAGCTCCTATGCCAAATTTCTTTGTTCCAATGGTCCATCAGGGTCAGCAGGGCCAGCGGCCTGGTGGGAGACGGGGAGCTGGTCCCGTGCAACAAGCGCAGCAGCCTGTGCCAATGATGCAACAGCAGGTTAGTTTACACGTGATTTATTCTTTTTTCTTTGAAGCTCATCTTCATGGCCACATCTACAACAAAAGCAATAATTGTGTGCGATTCATTTTTCAGATGCTTCCTAGGGGACGTGTCTATCGTTACCCGCCTGGTCGCAATGTGCCAGATGTTTCAATGCCTGGAGTTCCTGGTGGCATGCTCTCTGTTCCATACGATATGAGTGGCATGATGCCACGTGATGCTGCTATAGGACAGCCCATGCCAGTTCCAGCTTTGGCTACTGCTCTTGCAAATGCACCACCTGATCAGCAGAGGACGGTATGCTATTTTTGATACTTGGATTTTCTGTGACATGGCTACTTTAGAATATGCTTTTAACATTCAAATTTATTTTGTGGGTTGGTAGATGCTGGGTGAAAATCTGTACCCGCTTGTGGATCAGCTGGAGCATGAGCATGCGGCTAAGGTGACAGGCATGCTTCTGGAGATGGACCAGACTGAGGTTCTGCATTTGCTCGAATCACCAGATGCATTGAAAGCGAAAGTTGCAGAGGCCATGGAGGTCCTTAGGAATGTTGTGGCTCAGCAGCAGTCCAACAGCCCGACTGACCAGCTCGCATCTCTGTCCCTGAATGACCACCTTGTTTCCTGAGAAATTATGGTTTGTTTGCCATCTAAATTGAAGTTTTGCTAGTAGCGAGAGGGTACTGGATTCTATTTAGTATTTCAGATTGGTTTTAGTGGCATGTAGGATTTTTGTAGTTTGAAACATTTTGTTTGCTTTGGATTTTAGATAATTTATTTTCCGATGATTCTGAGATTTGCAGTATGTTTTTGCTATGGTTTTGATTGAGATTGATTTCCGTTTGGACATGCAAATTTACTAATTGTGTTTTGTTTTCTGCATTGCCTAGTCTTTTGCATGATTTCATTGTGGTAGTTTTAATGATTAGGCATTGCAATTTCACCTTACCTCAATATATTAGCACTTTTTTTTTGTGTTCTGCTAATATTCGGTTGTTTATATGTTTGTTTGTTTGATTTTTGGCGGGCTCTGTGAATATTTGGATGTTTATAGGTTAATCTGGCTTTTAGATTTCTGTGAAGTATGTAACTTAGGTGTTAGCACTTTTCTCTTTTTTTTAATGAAAAAATAAATGCATAAAGAGACCTGTTTTTAGGTTGGATGGAAAATTGTTGGGAGATTCTTATTGGGCATACATATCTTGAAAGCATGGTTGAGGTTGGGGACTTTCTTAATATTCTTTATCTATTTTTTGTTTGTTTTTATGTTGTCAAACATGCAGTTATAATTGACGTCTTTTAAACATGTTGATTATACTATGTTTTTGTTGTATAAGATTTTGTTAGCGTTATTTGTGGCTTGGTAGTTGCGATAAGATCTTGGGGATATTACTAAAAGAAAACTGAAAGAAAGCATAGTAGTTGTACGATATTGTTTGGTGCACTGCTACTATATTCTTGTTTGAGGCGGAATTGTTAATGTCTCATTTCAGGTTTAGATGTTTTTATGTGATTTTGTTTTTGTCAATTTTAACTATGTACTAGCAAGAATATGTTTTTCCAAGATATTTCTTGTCTTTAGCACAAATTTTGGAAAAATTTCAGTCAAGGATTTAATACTTGAAGTAAAATGTACATTTATGCTTAAAATATCTGCATGTATATTGATTTGTGTTGCAGTTTTGGCAAGTGTTATAATGAGGCCAGAACTTGCTATTTTATTTATTTTTTTTAGCTATTTGATTATTTTAGGTTTGGCTAAAAATGTTGTGTTTGGGATAATAGTTGGCCCTTTTTTTTTTTTTTTTTTTTTTTTTTTTTTTAGTTGGCCCTTTTTTTTTTTTTTTTTTTTGATTTGATGTTTGTGAGGAAAAAATTAAAATGATTATGAGTTGAAAATAATATTTTATTTTATTGATTATTTTAACTTATTTGGGATAATTTGGAAAGATGATTAAAAGTTATCTTTTAGCTTTTAATTCATTTTTAGTTATTTCATTTTTCATATTTTTTATACATTTTTTCAAAAAATAAAATAAAAAGTCAATTTTTAAGTATTTTTTTAAAACAACTCTGTCTTTATTGATTATTTTTGTCAAAAAAACACAAATCCAAGTTTCAAATCAGTCCCAGAATATTTATATATTACATTTAATTTATCATGTGATATGTGATTTGTAATATACATAAATAGTAAAACTCATTTAACCAATATAATTATGGCAAATGAGATAATAAACTCAATAAGGTAGATAAGTATATAGTTAGCGAGAGAGACAACTAAATAACTCAATCAATATTTAAGGGGTTGGGTCTTTAACGGAAAATTACTGGAAAATTTCATAATGCACAAAATGAAATATGAAATTTAGAATTTGATCATTTTTATTTCATGTATGTAATGAAAATTTTTCATTGCATATTTAATGGTTATGAAATAATAATGTAAATTTATGATTAATTTAAATTAAAAATATCATTACACTCAACTCACCATTAGATGATTTAATGAAATCTCTCTATTATAAATATGTAATAGATAGGATTACATTCTTTAGGCTATGTTTGGGATAATCTTTTTTTGGCTATTTTAGTCACAAAAAAATAAATTAAATTAAAAAGTCAATAAAACAAAATGTCACATCTAAGTCATAATCATTTCATTTTTTTTCTCACAAAAGTCAAAAAACTCATTTCAAATGAAACTTTTTAGCCACATAGCTAAATAGTCAAAAAATCAACCCATATTCCAAATGAAGGCTTAGTACATGCATTTCAAAAAAGTTGTTAGATTATTTCTTGAGACATCTCATTGTAAAATTTTAGAAGGTATTTGGAATTATTTAAATTAGTATATTTTTTAATTTTTTACATAAAAAAATAGAAAAATAATGTGACTTAAATAAATACACTTATATAAATTATGCCAAACACTATCAATTTTATTTTATTTTTACTCTTTGAACACGCCAATAATCCCACAACTACATTTATCCTCTCAGCCACTTTTGTTGTCGTTTTTCCTTCTCTCTTGTTGGTTGTTGCTACATCCTTTTTTTTTTTTTTTTTTTAATGCCCTTCACTTAAACCCACCTTATCCCCGTCACTAGTTGCCTCCTCTCCTTTCTTTCTTGCCACCCACAATTCCCTTTCGTAACTTTCTAGGCATCCCATTGCCTCTCTAATACGAATCCGGATCCTCGGCCACCCTACCCGGCAGCCCCCCAAAATGACGTCGTTTTGGGGGTTTTTGTTTTTTGTTTTTTTTTTCTTTTCTTCTTCTTCGTTCTTGCTTTCTCTCTCTTCGAAACCAGAGAGGAGGGGAGAGGGAGGAAGGAAGAGGGAGGAGACTGCGAGCTCGCCATCGCAGCTTGTCGCCTCGCCGCCGGCCGTCGCAGCCGTCCGATTATCGCTGTATCCAGCTCGTCGCAGCAGCTGCACCGCCGTCGCCTCCTCCTCCTCCTCCTCTCCCACTGGTTATGGCCCCCTCCAGTCCGGCCCTTCCCTTCCTCCTCCTCCCTCCTCCTTCCTCCCTCTTCCTCTCCTTCCTCCCTCTCTTCCTCTGCGTTTTTTTTTTTTTTGAAAATTTGCCCCCAAAACGACGTCGTTTTGGGGGCTGCTGGAAACGGCTGCCGGGTAGAGCGGCCGAGAATCCGGACTCCTCTAATACCCCCTACATTCTCTCATTATTCAGAAATTCCCAACTTTCACCTTTCCTTGTTCTCTTAATCTCACTACCTAGTACTTACCATTGCAACATATATATGTATATATAGAGAAAGAGGAAGAGAGATGTAAGGGAAGAAAGAGTCACACAAAAAGGAAAGAAAATGAAAGGGATTACGGTACTCCACAATGACAAAAGAAGAAAAAAAAGGAAGATGTGGTAATAAGAGTAAGGAGGGAGGTTTAAGAAGAATGGATTAGATTTGAGGAGGGATTGAGAAAAGTTAGCTTAAGTTGAGTAGTAACCAAAGTTTGGGAGGGTCTAATCAAGTTAGGGTTAGAATTTGTATTTTTTAGTAATTTGATGTAAAAATAAATTATTATTATTATTATTTAAATAAAGTGTTATTTTGAATGATCTAAATATGTGTATTTTTTTAATTTTTTACAACAAATGTGTACAAAAATAAAGAAATAATATAATTCAAATAAATATACTTATTTAGGAGATGCCAAATAAATTCTAAATTATCCTAACATATTTTTGTCAGAATTTTGAATATCAAAAGTTGTAAGTTTTTTTTTTTTTTTTTTGATTCATAATAGTTGTAAGTTGAGGAGTCTCACCTTTGAAGATTCTTTTAAAAAGGCTAAAAGTACCAATATAAATTTTTCCTAAAAATATAAAGGGAATAATTTGATGAAACCCAATATAACATTTTAGGAACAAAATGTAATGTAAAATGAACCTATATGGTCGACATCAAAGGGTGTACGTACACTCGAACACGACTCAGCATAAACTCAAAAGAAACTTCAAGGCCACGCTTCCCAGTCTCCCCCCCTATACAAAAAGGTCTCTCTCCCTCTCTCTCCTGCTGCTCTCGCTCTCTCTCGCTCTCTCTCTCTGTGTTGTTCTCTCCAGTTCACCATTAATGGGAGACCCAAGGAACCCGAGACCGATGTCTTTTTCTCTGCCTCCTGGTTCCCGATTCTACCCCTCCGAGGAGCAACTCCTCTGCTACTACCTCACTCACAAGAACAACGACGATCATCGCTTTGGGTTCGATGTAATTAACGAGATTGATTTGTACAATTTCGACCCATTCGATTTGCCCGACGCCGGTTGTTTCCGATTCGGCCGAGGAGGGAGGAGGAGGCACTGGTACTGCTATGTGGCTGCTAGGGTTTTGAAGGATTGTGGTGGGAGGAGGAGAGCCGGCGGCGGATACTGGAAGCGGACGGGGCGTGAGAGGGATGTTGTGGGCGGCGCCGCCGGGAAGGTTGTGGTTGGGAGGAGGAAGAGCTTCGTTTTTTGTTTGGGGGATTCGCCCAAAAACGCCGTCAGGACCGATTGGGTTATGTATGAGTATGCCCTAATTGATCATCCCAAGGTACTTGTATGCAATTGTTATATATTTGTTTTTTGATTTGGTTTGATAACCCTAGAATCCAAACAATTCACGCCTAAAAGAAAATTGAAGATAAAATCACAATCTTAATTTTAGCAGTTCCATTTTTCATACTTGAATTTATGTTTTTATTTTTTTTTTGTCCTTCCATTTTGGGTTTAGTTTTTGTATTTATTGCAATAATTAGATGTGCATGGTTGATATTTTGGAAAATTGTTAAATAACAGATGTTGGGTATGAATTGTTGGTACATAAGTTAAAGCAGGGTAAGTATCAAGTGTTTACTTGTGCAAAGTTGAATATTACACATATCATAGATAATAGATAGTGATAAATGTGTAGAATATTGTTCAATTGTGCTTGGTATTCACTTGCCTACACTTCGATTTATTTAGAAGTTAACTTGGGCTTTTGCAATGCATTGTCTTTACTAGTGTTTTGGAAATTAATGATAAATTTACAAGGATTTTGTATATTTGATTTAGATATAATAGGTTCTATTTGGTCCTTAGAAATGATAGGGGAAAATGACAAGCAAAAGGAAAATCGATTTTTCTCTAAACTGGGAGTAACGTTTAAAATAAAAAATTTCTCAAAAATGGTTTGGAATCAAGATTCTTGAATCAAGAATGTATGTATAAGCTATTTATCAACAAAAAAAAAAAGAATGTACGTATGTATAAAGCTAATCATTCTTCCTCATTTCCCCCCTTTCTCTCACAAATTTACCAACTAGAGCTTCAGTAAAAGGGGTATTCCTAGTACACGAGACTCCCACCATTGCAGGGTTTTGGAAGCTTATCTGCACTTTGCATTACTCTATAAATATGAAAACTTGGATTCAAGTTGGCAGGAAACTAGAAAAACCTCTATTGGATGCACGTTGTTAATTGAACTCGTCATCTGGCCTCCCACATTTGCAATTCTGGCTGTGAATTTTATTTTGCTAACATTGTTCACCTTCCCTTAGAAGCCATTGTCATACTAAATAAGGTTCACTCAACTTGAGTCCACTTTACAAAGCATTGTATCCTACTTCTTTGGTTCATTTACACTGTTTTTTCCTGTATAGCAGCATATGTATGGTATGCTAGCACTGTTTGTCAGCATCAATGGCATAATCAGTTTGTGAAATCAAATGTGAAATTTAGTTTTACCCTAAAAATTCTTGAAACTAGTGTTTAGTTACGATTTTTGGAAAAGTAGTGTTTCATTGCATTGAGTGTGACCATACTGGTCAATTTGCGAATTGAATTGTAAATCATTTTGTTAAAATAGTGAATAATAAGATTCACTTTATTTAGCATAATATATAATTATATATGTACATATAAAAATTCGCATTAATATCAAGATAATTAACTTATACATATCTATATACATATAGAATCACATATATCAATATAATCAGTTGATCTGTTTCTTTATGTTGCGAAAACTACGTAGTTCATGCACTGTGCAAATAGTAGTAAATTGCAATTGAATTGTATGATTTATTTAATTTACGTTTCAACTACACGAATTGTGAATCGTGAGATTCTAACAACGATGAGTTTGTTAAAATGGTGTTAGCATACTTCTGTTTGTCAAAACTAACTTAAGAAGGATGGGGTGTGGAGGAGAGAAGGAAATTATTTTAATAAATTTCTACGTTTTCAGTTATGAAATCTGAAACTTCTACTTTTTTGCAGGCTTCTTTCATTCTGTGCCGTGTATTTGTCAAGTCTCACAGTCGAAATAATGTTTCAGAGAATGTTCTAAGTTCATGCGGTGAAGAAAGTGTTGCTACAGTACGTCATGTTGGCATTCAGCATGATGGAACCTTCACATCTGGCATTGGTGAAACTATTGTCCATGATGACAATTCTGTCGACAGGAAGAATGAGGTTTCGAGATTTCCAGTAGGCCTAGTCAGTGAGCAAGATGATCGAATGACTGCTGGGGCTGTTGTCCTTGCTGGTGTTCAGCCTCCCTTAAGCAGGCAGCCTAGTGAGCCGGTATTTTCTTTAAACCACTTTTCCTTTTTAGTCTGATCATGATGCTACTTCTTGTCGTGCTTTATCTTTTTAGTTTAGAAGATGCATCACTACATGCTTATGCCATTTGTTCATCTTCGTTCATTGGTTTCCTCACATGAAGGTTCATGTTTTACTCTTGATGTTTCTGAACATGGCCTTCTAGTGAAGCCTTTTCTTAACGGTAAAGCACCAATAAATCCCAAAATATAATATTGTGAACTGTTTGGTCCTCTATTTTTTCTTATAAACCCAAAGGTCCCATTGAAATGGAAGTTACACAAAAGAATAGTCACTTACACATTTGAGTTTAATTTTTGAGGGATAAAAGTGGGTTTCTCCAAATGTAAAACTACACATTTAGACAAATTCGCATTATAGAAATTTTAGATTTTTCATCATTCTGGAACAAATCTCACATTACTAATAAGAACTTAACACTCCAATAACGTAATACTCCAATGTAACACACTAAAAAACTTCTTGGTATACTTTTCCTAAACATAACAACATATCATTCCAAACTTTTTTCAAACGTAACACTCTAATGTAACACACACAAAAGCTTGTTAATGTATTTTTTTTCAAACGTAACACTTCAATCAATGTAATCTCAAACGTAACACTCCAATGTAACATACTAAAAATACTAAAAAAATTATTTAATGTATTTTTTTTAAATGTAACGCTCACAGTCTGAAATTACACATTTACCCAAAACTTAAGAAATTTTTATACTTCTTTTGGAATAGTTTAAAGAATTTCACCCTTTTGAAATGGTATGAAAAATCTCACATCATTTTTTTAGAATGTTATATTGGAATATTACGTTTGAAAAAAAGTACACTTTGAAATTTTTTTGTGTGTCATATTGGAGTGTTACACTGAGGAGTTTTTTTAGAACGTTATATTGGAATGTTACGTTTAAAAAAAGTATAATAAGAAGTTTTTTTGGAGTGTTACGGTAAAGTGTTACAAATTGAAATTATACATTTGTTCAAACCTCGTTAAGGAGTTTTTGTACTCCTTGTAAAATATTTGAAGAATCCCACATCTTTTTGGATTGTTTGAAGAATCTAATATTTTAAGTCATTTTTGTATTCCTTTTAAAATGTTTGAAAAATCTTACATTTCAAGTCCTTTCAAATAGAAAAGATTCTCATATTTTAATTTTTTTCAAATTTGATTCTCATAAGTGGTGTATCTTACATTTCTAACACAAAAGAAAAAAAGGAAGAAAACATAATAGAAATAAGCGTATAACTATAAATTTAATTTTCAAATAATATATTAAATTTACCTTTCCAAATTCAATGAGACTAATTGGTCTATAAAAAAGCTCTTGGGACTAATCAAATTACCATTACTCAAGATGGGATTTATGGGTAAATTTTCTTTTTCTTAATTCTTAATTTTAATCGTCTATGAGTTTGTTTTGGAGGGGAAGTTAAGGGATGGTGGGGACTGTATTAGAATATGTATTAGTTATATCGTAAGAAGTATGGATACGGACACGTGACACAACATGGACACGCGGATATGTAAATTTTCAAAAAATACAGGACACAACACATTGAGAACTTGTTTAAAACATATATTTTTATTATATGTATATTTTTAAATATTTAATATGTATTTTATGTCAAATATTTAATTTTATCAAATTTATCGATCTTAGGTATGCTATTTTAGTATTAAAAAAAAAAATGAAAAAAATAGTACTGAGTGTGTTCCTTGCATGTCCTAAGCGTGTCCCTTGCATGTCCTAAGCGTGTCCCTTGCATGTCCTCAGCGTGTCCAAAGTGTCCCAGCGTGTCCAAAGCATGTCCCAGCGTGTCCGTGTCCAACACGTGTTAGACACTTGTTTGCGACCTCCGGAGAGGTGTCCGTGCTTCATAGATTATATCATGCTTGCAGTTGTGAGCTGCCTATAACTTTTGTTGGGGGTGGGATGCAAAAATAGTGCAGGAAATATTTTTAACCTTCTTTTTTTTTTTCTTTCTTTTTCCTTTTTCAATTGCATTATGTTTTCATGAATACAGACTTCTATTGAATTCAAAATTTACATTTATTCTTCTCCGTAGCACTTGAAACTTGTCACAAATGTTCCAAAACAGAGAAAAATAACCTTCGACTGATGCAACATCTCAGTTGTGCATGTGTTTTGATTGATCTGTGGTTGAAGCTCTAAAGATTAGGAAAAGGCAATTTTGGACTTCTTTATTATTCATCTCCTTTCACCACATATTGTTTTCATATACTATTGACCTTGAGGAGGTCTTCTGTTTCTGTGGACAGTGCAGGGCACATGTATTTTGGTACCAAAAACCAAAACTCATTTCCACCCCTCCTTTTACTGTTGAACTGTAAATTTCAGAACATCATAGCTAGAATTCTAGATGTTTTCGCTACTCTTGTTACCATGACATGGTGCAATATACGCAGGTGACTGCATCTGGGCTTACCAGTGGTGCTTCCATGTTTATTAACGGTTTGGCGGCTCCTCATTTAATGCCCATTCTGGAGGAAGATTTTATAGAGTTGGATGACCTTGCATGCCCGCTTTCGGGCATTGATTTTACATGATAAGACAAAAAATGAAACAGTAAATGAAACAGAAGGTTTCATATACAGAAAATGAAACAGTAAATGATAACAGAAGAGACAGAAGGTTCGAAATATTCTGTCAACTGTCAACAATACTCAGCTTGTAGCACCAGTGTGAGTTTCCAGAACGTTTGATGTACAGAAAGTCTACTGTACTCAGCTTATAGCACCAGCCTGAAAGATTCAAGAAGTTTGAAAAATTGTACGAAACAGTAAATGAAGAAACATACCTGTCAATTATGAGATTGACAATGATGTTGTGGCAGCAATATTCTGTCTGATAAGGTTGTGTTTTGACACAATTTTGTTAGAACTCCTGTTCAATCCCCATCAGGGAAACAGTTGATGACATCTATTATGGTTTGGGCATGCAGACTTGTTCTTGTGCCTAATGACAGGCATTTATTTTGGTGGGTTGGAGAAGGAGATTGATATGTGGGAAGATGGCAAAGTCAGCAGAACCAAGCTGAATCAGCGACTTGGCCTTGTATCACATCTCGGTCATTCTATTGATGGTGGAGTTTTTGGATCAACTGTGTGTGCATTTATGGGAAAAAGTCTATTACTTTTCCCCTCTAGATTCTTCGTTTTTTCTCTATCTCAATCTTATTAGCTAGATCTGTCTTCCTATTGCCTGCTATGTTTTTGCTTTCTTGAATTTTCTTGCTTTAGGAGGTTTCCAAACTATTTATAAATTATGGATGTTACCTAGATCTGGATATATTGATGACATGCTTATTATTAAAGTTATCCTCTAATAGTCATCTTTTGGTTGCTGCAGGATTAGTCAAATTGCTCATGATATAAAATAAACTGCATACCGTAAAAATATATTTTGGCAATTTTGCTTGGTTTTCTATGTACTTTTGTAGCTTGTGAGATCTTTTAGTTTAGATGACATTCCTGATCGTAGTCTGCCAAATTATATTAATTGCGGGTCTGAGAGAAGGGATAGTTTGGACTACTTGTGGAGCGGTTCTTGTCAAGGAATGCCCCAGGTTTAAATTGTAAAATAGCTTGCATTATGTAGAGATCAAGAGAAACTATTTATATATGATATTAATTGTAGGATGCATGAGAAATTTCAAACATATTTAGTTCTATTTCTAGCTTTGGAGGTGCTAAAGAGGTAGAAGATACCTCTGAGCTTGCCATCTGCCTAATGGTTTTAGAGCCGAGTTCCAGAGTCCATGATATTTTGAGATATCTTGACGGTAATGTGCTTAGTTTCTGAAACCTATTTTTGCCGTTTTCAGCTTGAAGTCAACTGTCCAATTGTTATGTTCATATTATGTTCTATGTAAGTTGCTGTTCAGAAGCTTTATGGTATGTGTTGAGGTCATATATTCCAAGTCGTATTGTATACTTGAAGTTTAATCCTCCGTCGTGTTGATGTTATGTTTTTGAACAATATCATATTTGGTGTATTGGTAGATTCTACCGGAACTAGGCCTCTACAGCAGTCATGCTTCTACAGCAGGTATATAAATTTTTCCTGGAAATGTAAAGAAATTCTTGGGGGTTTAGTTTTAGAATTATGTTTTGGATGTAGAGTTGTAATTTAAGTGTGGAGTTGTGAGTTGAGTTTTGAAAAAAAAAAAAATTGTTTAGATATGAATTTTGAAAAGAATTTTGAGTTTTGAAACGAGTTTTAAATTTTTAAATTTTGAGTTGTATTTTAAAATTTTAAAAATTTATTTTTTAAAAATGTTCAAGAAAATTTTATTATTTTATATTAAATATATAATTTTTATTTTAAACTTTTTTTATTTTAATTTTTATTTTTAAATAGTTTTTAAATATTTTATACTCAAAATATAACTTCACATTCAAATCATAACTAACTACATAACTTAAAACTCAATTAAAAATTTATTTTTAAAATTCATAACTAAACAGTTAACTCAAAATTTAATTTAATCTTTTTCTTCAACACTAATAATCAAACTTTTTTCAAAATTTCTTTCAAAATTCTATTAAAAAAATTAAGAATTTTTTTTTTATTTTGTGCTTTAAAATTATTTTTTATTTTATATTTTTTTGAAAAAATATTTTTTTTAAAATATATTTTTTATTTTTTGAAGTATTGACCAAATAATTTGTTACAATTTAAATATATATGTTGATCCAAATTTTTCTAAAATTTAAAAACATATAAATATTTAAAAAAGGTAAAAAATTTAAAAAATTAAAATGTTTTAAAAGATATTTAAAATTAAAAATATTTAAATTTAAAACTATATTTTTAAAATTTTTAAACATTCAAAAAAAATGCAACTCAAATATTTCAAAAAAATGTAGGGTACAATTGTATAAAATACAGTGGACATTAAAAAAATATAACTCAAAACTAGTTTTAGAATTTTTTTCAAAATTCATAACCAAATAATTTTTTACTTTTTAAATTCAACTTATAACTTAAAATATAATTCCACACTTAAATCGTGATTTTAAAATGTGATTCTAAAAGTAATTTTAAAAAACAAAATAAAAAAAAATTGATTTTTTTTAAATAAAATTTTGAAAAGAGTTTAGTTATGAGTTTTAAAAAAAAAAATTAATTAAATTTTGAGTTGTATATTTGATTATGAATTTTAAATTATATATTTAGTTATGAGTTTTAAAAAAAAAAATTGATTAAAAGTACAATTTCAAAATTGTAAACCATACGCAACGGTGTTTTTAAATTGACGGAAAATTCTAAAATTTATTGGTGATTTGAATTTTTTTTTTTAGGTTAAGTATATGGATCACATATTTGGGGAATGGGGAGGGTGAGGGGCTGGGGTTGAACCTTTCAACCCGGTTTTATTGGAACTGCACAATCTTTCTTTTTTTGTTTTGCTTAGTTCAAACCACTTTGTTCCCATGATGCTCTCACCATCAATCAACAAACCCTAACCCACTGTCACCATCCACTGCTGCTGCCATTGCCAGTGTTGCCCCAACCCAACCCAAACCCCCTCCCCTCTACCATTTCCTTCTCGTCGACTCCCTCCCCTTCACTACCCTCTTCCTTCCCAACCTAACCTACTCCTCTCTTGTCTCCGTCCATTGCACCGTGCCCAACCTCCTTCCCCAGATCTGAAAACCTTGCACCCACTTACTACTCCTCCTCCTCCTTCTCCTCCTCCTCCTATGCCTGTTTCTTTTTTCTCTTGGGTCTGGGGTTTTCACAGTGCTAGGATGGGAGGAAGGGTGTGCCCTTGTCCTTAGGGTGTTTGACATGTGCGAAAATAATACATTATTTTATTTAGGTCACAATTGTTTTATTTGAGTTACAGCACGTCTCTACTATATTACTTCAAACTTAACTTACATTTTATATTTTTTCATAAAAATTAAAAAACTATACTTTTTTAAATCATCTCAAATACCCTTTAATAGTAATTTGCTTGAGGGATATAATGATAATTTTAAAAAATTCAGAACATATTTTTCTCAATCTCAACTTTTTAAGTTTTGTTATTTTTATTTAATTTAATTTTTTTTTTTTTTTTTCTTTTTTTTTTTTTTTAAATTTCTCAACTACGGATGCATAATTTGGTTAAATGTGTTGTGTTGGTAATAAATAAGAAAGGAAAGATATAGGTAATGGGTTGTAGAAGGTTTAAAGGTGTGTTAGTCTAATGACCTGTTGGCGTGAATTCTACATCTCCAACACCAGCAGGAGGAGGAGGAGGATGTGGTGGTGGTGCTGCGATATATGGTTACCCCCAACCTCAACTGTGAGACCCACATATATAAGCTTAAATTATGAATTATTATGAATCGCTTTTACTGATCCCATTCGGACAGCTCACATCATTAGTATTTTGTTCTTTTTGATGATTTTTGGGTCCCCCTTTTCCTTTTTTTCTTCCTATTTTTTTCCCCTCCATCCTCACAATTATGTGTAGGTCTGGTGTGAATAGAGAACTCAGCTCTCATTCCCTTCTTCTTCTTCTTCTTCTTCTTTTTATTATTATTATTCTAAAGTCTCTCTCTAAGAATCTGCTCCGATGTGAAAAGGAAACGCCACTATAATTTCAACAGGAGAGTCATTTTGAGTATTTTGCTTAAATTTATTACCGAATGAAACTTCAATACAGAAGGGAAAATATCTTGTAACTCAAATTTTGTGGCTCAAATGGTTTTTATGTTGTTCTGTACTCAAAACGACGTCGTTTTGGCCATTTGAGCCACTTTTGAGTCACAAAATTTGAGCTACGTAGCATTGTCGAAACAGAAGGCATTTCACCTTATTATTTCTTGACTTGTTATATTTGGAGAGTTTTGAAGGTTAAATAAATTTATTTATTTTAAAGTGATTCTCACATCTTTTTTTCATTTTTTATTTTTAGCTTCAGTGATTTTTTTTTATAATTATGTCAAATTTGTTTTTATTTTTTTACTTTTGTCGGTCCTTCTTGTATAAATGAATCTAAAAAATAAAATTTTAAAAAAGATTTCAAAAAAAAAAAAAAAAAAAACTTAGAAATCCAAAATAAGTTAACAAAAGTTGATTAAATTTTTAATTTTTAATTTTTTTTTTTGGTTCGTCTCGTTTAGTTGAGTCTAGAAATTTAAAATTTTTAAATTTTAAAAATAAAAAAAAAAATTACTAAAGATAAAAAAAATAAATCAGGCAAACCCCAAATACTTCAATTTGAATCAATCTTGGATTTCCTACATTTCTTTCTTTGTTTTCTTGTGGCAGGTAGATGTAGTGGTGATATATTTTAATGAGTAATGATAGGGACTAAAATATTTTATATAGATATGAGTTTTATAATTATATAAAATATTTGATAAAAATATCAATAAAATATTTACATCCATTTTTTTATTTTTACCGTGTATGTGAAGTTTTTTGAATTGATAACGCCTAACAGTCCTTCCTTCGGTATTGCATATCATGCGTGTCCGCACGACAACCATGCGTTATTAGTCTGTCTCTCTCTCTCTCTCTCTCTCTCTCTCTCTAGTCGTATAACTTATGAGTGTTCAATTTCATTGACTTGCATTTGCATTCTATGCTTTGAAACGTTTTGTTGAACAAGGGACAGGGACCCCATGTTTTTATTATATATTATCCTTTCCTTTCTGTGACTATTAACTCTTCTTTTTTATTTTATTTTTAATTTTTTTCTTCACTTTCCTCTTTTTTTCTCTTTTTAACATCATGTTAAAACAGACGCTGTCATTCCCATGTGAGTGTTGCATACTTATTATGGTTCGTGCAAAATCTTTGGAGGTGGGTCACCCATCTCAATTGCTCTTGTTGAAAATTTTATTCTTTACAAAATAAATAAATACTAGTCAAATAATGTCATAAATATTATTTTACACAAAAATCTGTATAATTTATTTATTCACTAGTGGGTGGCACACACGATGTATGTGCAATTTAAATAAGTAGGAATAAAAAAAAATAATAATGAAATTAATATTATAATGTGTACTTAGCTTAAGTGGTATCAGTCCTCGTACTTAAACCCATGGTCATGGGTTCAAGCCTTACCCATCTCTTTGTTTAACTTTTTTTAAAAAAATAAAAAATATTGCCACATGGCATGAGGAGAGTAAAGTTTCAGGACACCAAAATTCTTGTTCACTTTATAATAGTATAGATAGATAGATATATTATTAATTTTCTTGTTACAATATTACATTCAAAAAAAAGGATGAACTTGTAAAGAGTAGGTTCAAGTGAATATTGTGTTCAAGCTTAGAATTGAATAAAAAAACATTTTTTTAATTTTTTATTTTGAAAAACATAGAA